ATGGGATAGATTAACTAGACTTTCCACACGTCCTACTGGAGCTATTTATAAAAAAGAGTCGGCCATGACTTCCCATAAACATAAAGGAAATAACGAAAAATTTACCCAGTTTAATTCCTCGCATTAAAGACAACTGAACATTAAATGCGCGCTGTTTTTTTTCTTTTCCCAAGTATTCAAACCGGTTAGGTGTGCCAGGAATTTTTTGTGTTTCTGACAATGGTGGCGCGACGAAAAAAATTTGAGAACCGCTGTATTAGAGCCATAATTTTGGAAAGATATTTTAGGCTTGTAAACTGGATTTATACGGTGCAATTTAAGTCATATGTTAGCGCCGGCAACAAAAACCAGGGACTGAAAACATTAGCAGACCAATGAATTAGAGAACGGTCAGGGAGTAATGATACTTTGGTAATGTAAGTGATATGAAATGTGATAAATAATGAATATCACACTGACTGTTTTAACCCCCCCCCCCCCCCCCCCCCCACAGCAGGGAAAGAACACCGGCCAGCAGCAAACAAAAAAGCCACTATCGCCACAACAAGAAGCACTAGTTGCCCCAAACCGCCAGACTTACAGAAGTCCCATCCACCCGCTCCAGGCAATCTGTTAGTCCTTTTCAGGACTAGCAGACTCCCCTCCCAAATGCCAGAATAATAGCCCTGCCAAAAGCCTCCAAGCCAGACGTTTTACAACTCACCAAACTCAGGCAAAACTGATCGCCACACAGAACAAAAAATCAAGCTAAGATAGCAAAGAAACTGTCCTTAATATAGCAGGCCCTCGGGCGGCTCAAAGAGGTCCAAACTTGTCAATTTTGTTTTCTACAAATCCGAATCCTCCATGTCATAGTCATTTAAAGTTTGATAACCAGGAAGGCCCCTGTCTAGTTTCATGATTAACGTAAAGTACTGTCAGCTGTATAAAGAACACCAAAATAGCCTCCACATCAAGGGCGTGGACAAAAAAAAAAAACATTGATTATTCTAGGGGCGGAGGAGGGACTTAAGCCATGCTTAAGTGAGTAGTAATAATAATAAATATTATTATATGCTGAATGGCAAATAAATGTAATTTAAAATCATAGGAAATAGAGTATTATAAAAAAACAACTAAAAGTGTCTATTCATGATACAGCAGACCACTCAGTCACCTTATACAATTTCTATAAGGGGGTGGGGGGACGGGGGTGAGTGAGAATCAACTAGGCACAAGCCCCAGAAACCCTGTTTACCAACTACCCGGTACTAACTACAGTAAAAACTGGGACTGGAAAGCTTGATGAAGGAATGCAAGAGATCTGCACAAATACACACAATGTTCAAAGACTTTATCAATGAATTACTAACTACAACGCCAACTATGAATGGACAACGTAACATAACAAAACTAAAGAGCTTGTAAACAGCCAATGCCAACATGAAACCAAGAAGAAAGTAATAGGAAACCAAACATCTAGTGGCTCCAGCAGGGGAAACAATCCAAGGTGAAGAAAAGTAGATAGCTCATTTCCCCTTCCATTAGTTCTGCAACTTCCAACAAGCTATCACCAATCATGTCCTCAATTGTGCTCCAAAAAGGGGTCTTGTAACTGAAGGCAGTATCTTACTAACCTATCACTCCTTGATCATTACAATCTTGCAGCACTACCACTCTAGGATTATCATAACCTTACAACTATATCACTTTAGGATTATACAAATCTTACAACTCTATCACTAGGATTATCACAATCTGACAACTCTAGCACTCTAGGATTATCACAATCTTACAACCCTATCACTCTTTGATTATCACATTCTTACAACCCTATCACCACCACAGTCTTACAACCCTATCACTACCAGTCTTACAACCCTATAACTCTTATGATTATCACAATCTTACAACCCTATCACTACCAGTCTTACAACCCTATCACTACCACAATCTTACAACCCTATCACTACCAGTCTTACAACCCTATCACTCTATGATTATCACAACTTACAACCCTATCATTACCACAATCTTACAACCTTATCACTACCACAATCTTACAGCTGCACACTTTTATCAAACATTATTCAATAATCACCAGCAGTGCTGCAACCATGCCAGGTGTTAAGTCCCTCTGGCGTGGTGAGCTTGCAAGCAACACAGTGTTGCTGCTGACAGTAAATGGAGACAAATGTTCTTCTGTCCAGGCTGATGCTTCAACTGATGGCATGCTCCCACTGGCTGCTGTTAGCAATACATCAGTGACATCAAACCATCATCTATTTAATGAGACACCACCATCATCTATCTAATGAGACACCGCCATCGTCACCATTTTTTATCTTGAGACACTGCCACCATCACCATTATCTATCTAACGAAACACTGCCATCATCTATCTAACGAGACACCGCCATCATCAATCTAACGAGACACCGCCATTATCACCCATTATCTATCTAACGAGACACCACCATTATCACCCATTATCTATCTAACGAGACACCACCATTATCACCCATTATCTATCTAACGAGACACCGCCATCATCTATCTAACGAGACACCGCCATTATCATCCATTATCTATCTAACGAGACACCGCCATCATCTATCTAACGAGACACCGCCATTATCACCCATTATCTATCTAACGAGGCACCGCCATCATCTATCTAACGAGACACCGCCATCATCTATCTAACGAGACACCGCCATTATCACCCATTATCTATCTAACGAGACACCGCCATTATCACCCATTATCTATCTAACGAGACACAGCCATCATCTATCTAACGAGACACCGCCATCATCTATCTAACGAGACATTGCCATCATTTATCTAACGAGGCACCGCCATCATCTATCTAACGAGACACCGCCATCATCACCATGGAAATCATAAGCATCATAAACACAACTATGACAGTATATCCACATCTATTTTCACTATTACCATCCTCAAACCATCTCCGTGGTTAAGCTGTTTGCCTTGCGGTCTGAAGGTTGTTGGTTCGCTTCATGGCTGAGCCCTTCATTTCATGAGTGCAATTTTTACGGAGATCCCTGGTGATCGTCGCCGGAGCTATGGAGTTCATGTCCTGTGTGGTGCTTTCAGCAGGTGGCTAGCTGTTTTGCAGACAGAGACCAAGCTAAATCAGATAGAACCCAGAGCAATGAAGTCGATTCTCTCGGCTTTAATCTTTTTAAAAAAAATCCCCAAACCAACATTCAAATTTATTTACTGTTACTAGAACTATCAACTTCATAGCAAACGGGTGGCCCCATAATGTTCATTACTATCCCTCTTTGAAAGAAAGAAAAACTGCAGTCTCAGGCATTCAATGCATTAGGCAGCTGTCAGAAGTGTTAACACAAAAAGGCTGACACTTGAAATGCAGTTCATAGTTGAGGGAGGCAGCAGTTAAAACAGATCAGTAATTGCGCATGCAGCAGCACTAGTTCTGCAGCAAAAGGCCACTTGCAAAATCTGTAGTTCAAAACACAAATCGCAATGGTCAGTCAAAAAATATTCCACATGAAATCAGCATCTCACTGTGTCATGCCATGCACTCAACTCAGCAGCTGGGCAATGAAACTATCCTTTTAGTCTACATATGAAGGAAAATGCAACAGCCAACTAAAAACAGTAAAATGTCTATCCTCCATACTGACTGAAAGTCACCACTATCAAACCAACCACAGCCTATCCACTTTCACTTCCATAACTTTCATTACATAATCAACTTTATCCCTGGATAAACATTACCATCACAATAACATATCATCCTTCACTAGGACGCTTTTGTCATCCCTTGACTACCACAATCACCATTATGACCATCATCACTACGCCTGGCAACCATGATGATACAGTATAACAGAATTCTACATTCTGACCAGTCACCTAGTTTAAGCAGGTGCGCATACAACACAGTCCATTATCAGAATGACTCCTCGTAAGTCCCCTTGAATTATATATGTAGCCCATTCTTGTATGCCGCAAGCAGGATTCACATATGGTACCAGATGCTTAATTAAGCAGTATTCCCTGGAGATGGATGTGGTTTTCTACCACCATCTCACTCAATGAAATATCCCCATTTAATCAAGAAAGCCAAGCTCATCGTCTTCACCTTTCGCCCAAGTGATGTAAATGTGTTATGCTGGGAGATAAAAACAATGAACAACGGAAGTAGTGAAACATTTATATAGGCTTTTAACACAGTTTATTTGCTATGGTTAGTGACTTTTATTGAACATTCAGCACTGCTTGTTCAACTGTCAAGATGGCTTGTTCAATGACTTCATCACTAACTGTAATGTTTAGTTGACATTAAAAGATCATCCAAATGAAAAGCACAACGAAACAGCTTCACGTTATCACAATAAACGTTACAGCCAGAAAACCTTCATCAGCACAAAAAAAACAAATAGACAATGACACAATCTTACAAAAATACACACAAAATCACTAATCTGTAAGCATAAATCTGTCACAAAAACACCCACAACAGTTTTTATGTTTAAAAAAAATAATTCATAGTTGCCATGTGGGGTTTTTCTGCAAACAATATTTAACAAATGAAGTTCTGAAACAGACTGTGACTTTCCCTGTGCTGTGGTGGTCAGGTTAAACTGACCTCATCCTCTGAGGGTTCTAGGGCCCTACTACAGGAAACAATAGACCCACTGTTTACCCAAATGCATGTCATTAGAGTTGACTAATTGGGAGCTTCCTTCGAAGTCAGAGTGCATCTGCCTGAGAGGCAAGGAACCAGCAGTCTGCATACAAATGATTTGTAAAATGGATGTACATGCAACACTCAGGTTCTTCAAAAAAACTGCAGTCCAAAAGTAGATGAACAACCAGAACTTTCCACCAGAGTTCACAGATGGTGAACATGGAGAAGAAAAACATTTAAAAAAAAAGATTAACACACCACACTCGTCATGCAATAAGGATATGCCTTGTTCCTTCAATCACAAGTTTCACAGAATACAAACTACCAGAAATTATCTACGTGAACTGTCAGATGCTTCAAACTGGTCAATATTTAAAACTCTGCCATCTTTACACTTGATCTGTCCGTCGTCGGTCACTTCTAGTTTCCCCTCTCGCAAGTCATCTTCCACGTCTCTGGCATAAACTGCGTTGAAAATGTCATGAGGTGTCAGTGCACTCTGGTTGATTTCTTTAGCTTTATATGACACGTATGCTTTCAACTGTAAGCAGACAAGACAGAGCAATTGATCAGCTTTTGGTTTTATACAACAAGAACAATTTCACAGTGCAATGTTGAGTGAACAGTGGAGCTCAACAGCAGTTCAGTCCACTTGTTTAAGAGATTGCTCTTTCTCTTCTCCCCAAAGGAAAGAAGTTCTGGTTTTCACCAACTTCTGGACCTTGGTTTTGTTTTGTGTGCACACCCATTGGACAGATATGGTTTATGTAAACTTTTCATTATTCACCTCTCAGGCAAATGGAACGCTCGTAATTGGTCACCTTTTATGACACGCTTGGTGGGAGAGGGGTGGGGCAGAGGGTCTATTTGCCCTGGGTCCTGGGGGAGGGGTAGGGCAGAGGGTCTATTTGCCTTGGGTCCTGGGGGAGGGGTGGGGCAGAGGGTCTATTTGCCCTGGGTCCTGGGGGAGGGGTGGGGCAGAGGGTCTATTTGCCCTGGGTCCTGGGGGAGGGGTGGGGCAGAGGGTCTATTTGCCCTGGGTCTTGGGGGAGGGGTGGGGCAGAGGGTCTATTTGCCCTGGGTCCATTCTGAAGTCCTGGAGTGAACACAGGGAACAATCCCTGGATGTATTTCAGTATTCAGCAAAGTGATTTTGGTCATCTTGGATGCCAGCATTCCACGTGCTGCTTTGATGACAACCAAGGCAAGACTCCGGCCACACGTCCTCATCTGATAATGGCAGGGCGATAAACATCTATTATGAACTCATTGCTACAATGAGTGACGTACATGGGCTCAAACTTGTATTAAATTAAAAAAATGTTCAACATGTCATTTGGTCACAAAATGGCAACTACAAAAGGTTCAGATTGGCCAGTTATCAGAGAGACTAGATTGAGGTACACTCTAAAGCCGGAGTGCACCAGCTCAATAGCCAAGGAAACAACAGACTGCATAAAACTGTAAAACTGATGTACACACAAAACTCATGTCCTGGAACAGAGCCAAAGTCTAGAAGGGGATGAACAACCAGGGCTTTCCACCCGAGTTTACAGCTGGTAAATGTAAACAAACAAACAATCCTTTTAGTAAATACTGCAACTGTTACTCTTGATAACCCAGGGAGTTGAGCTTAACAGCGACACATACTTAGATCTGAAGGAGTTCAATCATGACACTATGTGATAACAGTGGTTAGACTACAAATGAAGAGATAACTGATTATTCTTCACGTTCACCGGCTGTAAACTCCGGCACAAAGGTTCAGGTTGTTCGCCCATGCCTGGTTCTAGAACTTTTGTGCGCACATTCACTTTACAGATCTGGCTTTTTTGTAGCTAAACTGTTAGGTTCTCACCTGTAAGTAGATGGATAGATGGATTTCGACTTTTGAGGGAAACAACTATAAGTAGTCGACTTGTTCGACATGCATGTTAGGCAAGGCACTGAAACCCTCACATTATATTATCGCTGGAAACATCAAGAAACAGATGCTGACCTGTTTGCTACTAGGAAACAGGTTGAGGTTCAATACCAGCAGTAGCAGCATTATTGTTCTTACCAGTATCAGGCTGGGATCCCAACGCTTACCATTTAGCACTAGACAATTTTCAGAATTATTTACAAAGAAAAAGTGACAAGGAAGAGAATAGATTTAAAAAAAAAAGGGTAGGAAATTATTTGAGGAGAAAAAAAAAAGGGTAGGAAATTATTTGAGGAGAAAGAAAAAAAAGGGTAGGAAATTATTTGAGGAGAAAAAAAAGGGTAGGAAATTATTTGAGGAGAAAAAAAGGGAAGGAAATTATTTGAGGAGAAAGAAAAAAAGGGTAGGAAATTATATGAGGAGAAAAAAAAAAGGGTAGGAAATTATTTGAGGAGAAAAAAAAAAGGGTAGGAAATTATTTGAGGAGAAAAAAAAGGGTAGGAAATTATTTGAGGAGAAAAAAAAGGGTAGGAAATTTTTTGAGGAGAAAAAAAAAGGGTAGGAAATTATTTGAGGAGAAAAAAAAAGGGTAGGAAATTATTTGAGGAGAAAAAAAAACAGTAAGAAGAAACCATAGTTTATGTCAGCTTTACAAAATCAATGACAATGAACAAAGAATGTTGCAGTGGTTAGGCTTCAATGTTGCTGAATTAAGAATTGACATCACCACACTCGGGACACCCCTGAGCGCTCTGTCCTCATCTTCAGCAGCAAGCAAAGAGCTAAAATTCCGATGGTACCAGTAACTGTCTGATTGTATAACCGTCTCGCCTTTCCCTTGAGTGTCGTCCAGATCCCCTTGTAACTTCTCACAGTGCCATTCTCCTTAGACTAATGGGTACTCCTGTCAAATCCGGACGAAGAATAAAAAGCCTTGGACGACTTAGTCAGAGTTCTCTCCCTTGGCCGCACTGCAAACAGTGATCGGAAAAGCCAACGAAACAAACGACACATGCAACATGGCAGTTAGACGCACTCACATAACTAACATCGTTCTTCCGACGCACGACTTAGTTGCCGGGAACGACTATCGTGACTGACGCTTGGCGAGGCTACAGCAATGTGGCACACTTACGGCATGGCATCTATCTGCACGAGGTAGTAGTCCACCAGACCAACTTCGTTGACGCCGTACACTGTCACAAACAATTGAGGGCCTCTGGATGCTGGTCAAACGCACAATTCGCCAACGATTGGGCACCAGCCGCACACTATTGGCGTCATATTTAGCAGAATTTCAGTGGCGCCACGCCCACAAACATCAGATTGTCGGCCAGTATTTCGAAACCCTACGTCAAAACTTTCACATCTAACCCGCAACCGTACGCAGCCCTACACGCAACCGTATGATGATAGGTAAGTGTGTCGTTTGTTTCGTTGGCTTTTCCGATCACTGTTTGCAGTGCGGCCAAGGGAGAGAACTCTGACTAAGTCGTCCAATGCTTTTTATTCTTCGTCCGGATTTGACAGGAGAGCCGACTAATGATCTATCTGATGTTGATTCGTTGTTTAAACCTCAAAAGGAGAGGAACAAGGTAACAAAAATTTGCTTCTTTGCTAGCTGTTCCAAGGTTAGCTGAGTCAGGACTGACTTTTTGACAACACAAGGGTTAAAAGGTGAATTATCTGGCACTCAAGAGTTAAAGATACAAATATAAAAGTTTGCCAGTAAGACTTCAGAAAATAGATAAATTAAAACATTTACCTCAAATCCGGTTAAATCTGGCACAACAAACTCTGGCACCATTTCTGGTATATGGATGTATTCCCCTGTGACTGCGTCATTTATACCAGTCGGGGCACGGACTGTGGGGAAACATGTAACCATGTTTATCAACAACAAAATCTTGACAACAAAATAAAAAAATAGTTTTTAGTGCAGTAACCTATTCACAACTACAAACATCAAATATTGGCTGAGTTTAGTTGAATCAAGAACTGACAACACAGCACTCGGGGCATTCCCATGCGTGCTCTGTCCTCATCTTCAGCAGCCAACGCAGAGTTGAAAGACTGATGGTACAGGTCACAATCTGGTTATATGTCCATCTTGCTATTCCTCTGAGTGAAGTGAGCCGGCCAGACCCTCTGGTTACAGCCAGGTGCCTTATTCTCTCCAGGCCATAATAATCTTGTTTCTCTACTGATTCCGTTGCATGTTCCCAAAGGGCCTTGACAACATCTGCCTTATCATGTATCAATTCACCACCCAGTGGTGCAGATCCAGCCAATCTGTCTGCCTGTTCATATATTGGCTGTTGGCTCTTTCATGTTCTGGGCTTCTACCATTCCACCTTATGCCACAGAGAGAAACTCAACCAAATGCACAAACTCTACAGATGAACCAAATTTGTGTGTAGACCTGAATCACACTTGCTAGAGCTATTCTTTCATGAATATTAATGATCAATTTTGATTCTGAAAACCTGGAAAATGAACAGACAACTAGACAATCAAACTGAGTCTTGGGAAGTCTGGAGAAACAAGAACAAGCAGTCTCTCATGGAAACTAAAACAGTTCGGTACAGAGGTTCAGGATAGACCATGAATAAAAAAGAAAATTACTGAAAGAAATAAAAAATTAAAAAAAGCAACTGAAATATTTCGGTCACATTAAAAGACATAACACACGTTTAAAAATCACACTGAAGTAAAAGGTCAACAGATAGACAACGATACAAGTGGCAGCATACCATTAAGGGATGGACGGCCAGCAGTCTGAGAGTGTACCACCAAGACAAGAGACAGAGCATGTTGAAGATCCATTGCCAACCTTTAGCGTGGAGATGGCACCTGGTTGATGATGAAATGTGTTTAACCTGGTCTGCTGCGTTTAACATCCAACCAACAAACCACTGGTCCTCATTGTTCCATGATTGTGTCTGAGAAAGTTCTTTGCTGAATCCATTACCCGGGAATGACAGTGAGTGAGAGAAAGTGTGGCCCCACTTTTGTTTTCGTATTTTGTACACATTATTGGTCATTTATCAGTCCACACATCACAGTCTTAGTGAATTCAACCAGGTCTGACTGAGTTAACTCTTTACGTCACAAGAAACGTACCATATGTGACTAGATCAAGCACCAAATGGTGTGTAATTTCTTCATTTACATTTGGTCTGAACATACTTCAGAAATGTGGCCTAATATTCTAACTCTTTTGGTCCCATGCATTTCCACATAAATCGCAGACATTTTAATATTAGCACAGCAGACTAAAGACATCTGGCTTTCATATTGGCTACTCACACTACATAATTTGTCTGAATTTTATGCATTTGTGGCGGTCATTCATTCCCTACGAGAATGCCCTGGGGTTGAAAGAGTTAATACGCCAGTTTGAAATTAAGAAACTAATTCTATTTCACTACGGTTATTGTTTCATGTGGGTCTGCATTTTGGAAAACCTACGCCACGTTAAAAAGTTAAATCAGTTTCACATAACCTGTCTCAGAAAGCTGTTCAAAATTAAATGGTAGGATAAGATCCCAAGTACTGTGGTTCTTGATAGGGCAAACCTGCCTAGCATCTACACAATACTGAAGAATTATCAGCTGTGTTGGGCTGGTCACCAGAATATCGCCTTTGTAAGAGAGTATTTTATGGGAAGGGAAGGGAAGAGGTCCCAGGGAGGACAGAAAAGGTGCTACAAGGACACACACAAGACTGCTCTTAATTCGGCTCTTCTTTCAATACCGGACGGTAGCTGGACGGCTTAGTGGGAGTTCTCTCCCTTGGCCGCATTGTAAACGGAGCGGAAAAGTCACGAATCAAATGACATACTTACCTATCATCATACGGTTGCGTGTAGGGTTGCGTAGTCATCATACGGTTGCGTAGGGTGTAGGGTTTGGGTTAGGGATAGGGTTACTTAGGGTTAGGGTTAGATGTGACAATTTTGACGTAAGAGTTCCAAATACTGGCCGACAATCTGATGCTTGTGGGAATGGCGCCACTGGAAGTCTCCCATATATGACGGCAATAGCGCGCGGCTGGTGCCCCATCGGTGGCAAATTGTCCATTTGAGTAGCATCCACAGTCTTTCGATTGTTTGGGTGTGTATGTGACTGAGCGCGATTAGTCGGAACTCCTGTGTCAAATTTGTCACATCTAACCCTACCCCTAATCCTAAACCTAACCCTGATCCAAACCATACACGCAACCGTATGATGACTACGCAAACCTACATGCAACCGTATGATGACTACGCAACCCTACACGCAACCGTATGATGACTACGCAACACTACACGCAACCGTATGATGACTACGCAACCGTATGATGACTACGCAACCCTACACGCAACCGTATGATGATAGGTAAGTATGTCATTTGATTCGTGACTTTTCCGCTCCCTGTTTGCAATGCGGCCAAGGAAGAGAACTCCCAAGCCGTCCAGTATTGAAAGAAGAGCCCTTAATTCTTTTGGCATCAATTCAAATAGCGACATGGGAGGCTGCTGCACAAAACCATTCTGGATGGTTTACATCTCTCAGGCATGGTGACATGGTGCAATGTCCTGCCAGGCAGCGGAGGTTGCACAGGCACTACAGAGAAACGGAGGCAGACTAGAAAGAATCGTACTGAGACATACTCTGGCTTTCATCTGATGTCCGCACCTGCTAAAGAACTTTCCAGGCTCACACTGGATTAATCAGCTACCTTCGTACTGACGCTAATCATAATCATTACTTTACTCTGGATGAAAGTGGTCTTCATCACTCGTGACAAGTTGAACAACAGTCTACTGTAAAGTTAAACTAGTAGTACTACTTATTCTTCTTCTTCGCGTTCACCAGCTGTACACTCTGGCGGAAAGTTCTGGTTGCTCGTCCACTACTGAACTGCAGTCCTGCTCCAGAACCTGAGTGTTGCATGTGCATCAGTTTTACAGATCTATTCTCTTGAATACAGACTGTTGGTTCCTTGCCTCTCCGGCAGATGCACTCCGACTTCAAAGGAAGCTCCCCAATTAGTCGACTCTTACGACATGCTTTTGGTGAGGCAGTGGGTCTATTCTTGTTTTCCCCACAATGGGGCCCCGGAACCCACACGGGGGAGTACTACTTATTTACTTAGTACTTACGCTCTTCGGGCAGAAGCTTCATCATTTCCTCGCTGCCTCCGGGTTTTCCTGGCGCCACATCGTCCGGGAAGACAGGGAATCGTTTATCAAAGGGTACTCTAGACTTTCGTCCGCAAAGACACGAGGACGTGCTGACAAAACGTTTGGCTAGTTGGAACAGTGTCCCTCTTGTTCTGGTTGCCAACATGATCTTGGTTCACCCTTAACCACTTTAGTATGGCTAGGGCGCGGCCATTACCGGAAGTCAGCGTGAATCAATTGTTTGGTCATTTTATGAGAATCTTTCTGCCGTGCCTTTATCTTTCATTCGCTGAAATCAATTATCTATATCTGCAATGTCTCTAGTAAGAAATTCACTATCTTTTGAAATTCACTTAGCGACCCTTAAAGTTTGGGTTCCATCTCCTGGCCAGAAGTTTTGTCTGGAAACGTTGCATTTGGGACAGGCTTGGAGGTTGTAATCAGTTGTCTGTCTCAGGTGCCAACCGGCACACATGGCTGATTCGCCAATCTTAACTTTTGTATACATGTGGCTGCGAAGTTGAATGTGCCCTGTTCTAAAGCGAAGCATAATGACTTGCTCTGGTCTATCCGTAACAAGTTAATCGTCTTGTGCCAGTTTTTTTGTTTCTTTCTGATTGATTTTATTATTCTCTCTCTCTGGGGGTACGTTAGCGCAGTCGATAGGAGACTCGCTTTCAAATCCAGGTGCGATTCGCTGCAGCCTACGGCCGGTGGTTGAAACCAGACGTTTCCCGAGGTTCACCCAGTCTCTAGGAAATGGGTACCAGAGTTAACACTCTGGGGTAAATGGAGGAGCGTCGTTGTAGCCACGGAGTTGCGTGCGGACGGCGACACAGGCGGACAGTTTCTTATCAGCTGTCCGTACTGGTGGCAGAGCACTTATGGTTTATAACCGTGTGCAATGACGCTGGTTCACATCTCCCGACTTTCCTTTTTTTATTTTTATTATTATTCTTTTTTTTCTGTTGATAAGAGACTGGTATGTCAGGTTGTTCTTCAGTTGCACCTTCCTTAGCTAGTTTTTCAGCTCTTTCATTTCCGCGAACTTCACAGTATGATAGTATCCATTGCATAACTACCTTACACCAGTTGCCTAGTTCGGTAAGTAGTGTCCGTATACCTGGTAATTTTTCAGACTGGAGTGCCTGAAGTATCGCACCTGTCAGAAATACAACTGGTTGTGAAATATACCCATGCTGCCATGTGATGTTCTTCATCTCGTTTGTCCATAACTTTCTGTCTAGGTCCCTCTATGCTTAACCGTCTCACATCTGCCCCCTTACATTCCTGTTATGACGACATACTCCAATTTGATGTCTTCTGATCTGTTGTTTTTGTGAGTTAGCTTTTCTTTTAAAGACATCTTCATTAAGCTGTTTAATAAAATCACATCTACGTAATTTCCATATAATTTCTCACGAATATTGTCTGTTCTTGATTCACTCCAAATTTGAGACCCTTTGAAAATAAAGTTTGTTCCAGAAAAATCAGCTGGAGAAAACTCTCCACGCGTTATCCAATTAAGATGACTGGTCTGGCCATGTGAGAAGATTGGCAACAGACAGGGCACCACAGAGAGCATTGTTAATTGGATACAGTAGTAGCAGATCCAGAGGTCAACCACACAGATTATAGACTGCGAAAATATCAGACACTGAAAAGTACTATATACGAAGCAAACAAAACGGCAGTTTCAGAGATCTCTTCCTTTCCTGATGCAATGAGGCATTCCAGGAGCAGAAAAGAAGATTGAAAATGAAAAACCTATAAAAACAGGCAACTCAAAATACAGACTTAACACAACACTTAACAGTCTTTAATGAAAAAAATCAGCCCTTATTTTAACATAGAGACTGTCGTAGCATAATGCCTTGTGCCCCTGAGAAGTAGCTGGTCGAGCAGTTAAGAGAGTTAGGCTTTCATGTGACAGACCCAGCTTGAATCCGTGGTAAGGTTATGCATTTTTTTCTGTAGAAAAACACAAATAAAATTCTAGCCTGAATAGTTGTTAGTCCTCTGGCTGAAGACCGTTATGACCCCCGCTAACACAAACTGCGACTCTACATCCTCTGGCTGAAGACTGTTATGACCCCCGCTGACACAAACTGCGGCTCTATTTCCTCTGGCTGAAGACCGTTATGACCCCCGCTGACACAAACTGCAGCTCTACATCCTCTGGCTGAAGACCGTGTTGACCACCACTGACTTAAACTATGGTAAAAGACAGGCAGTTGAGACAGTGAGAGCTTGCAGCCTCTGTATTCTTTGGTAGAGGTCTCTCTGTGGCAGATTTTTCATTTAGCTCCTGGATTAACTTCACCTCATACAGAAGTTACCATAAAATGTCCGGGGGGGGGGGGGGGGGGGGGGGGGGGGGGGGGGGAGGTTGTGATCCCTGTGTGCTGTTACTGGAACAATGGAGTTATTGCTACAATGGAGTTACTGCTACAATGGAGTTACTGCTACAATGGAGTTACTGCTACAATGGAGTTACTGCTACAATGGAGTTACTGCTACAATGGAGTTACTGCTACAATGGAGTTACTGCTAAAACGGAGTTACTGCTACAATGGAGTTACTGCTACAATGGAGTTACTGCTACAATGGAGTTATTGCTACAATGGAGTTACTGCTGTGTGTGACAAGTGTACAAGTAGTAACTTCTGGAGACAGACAGCCACACAAAATAAAAACTTGTGCAATAAGGTCAATCAGCTGACCTTTTTCTGAAAACAGAAAGTGATGCCTTGTGCTTACGGTGGCTTGCACTGCTTGATAAAACTCAGATAAGAATCATATCATGGACATATTATGCCCAGGATATTTGGGTGTGTATGTTAATGAGCAGCCTGATAGATTAGCTGCTGCCGCCTCTCTGGGTAGTGAGACTAAGATAAAGCAGACATGAAGGCTGTAAACAGTGCAACCGAACAGATACAGTATCCATATCTGCACAGAGCAGGATTCAGCTCAGAGGGAGCAAAAAGTCTGGATAATTTTCTACCCCACAGGAAAAACAAATATGACCCTGAGTTGAGCCAAGAATGGAAATCACAGCACTTGGGGCATTCCCATGCATGCTCTGTCCTCATCTTCAGCAGCCAGCACAGAGTTCCAATACTGATGGTACCGGTCACAATCTGGTTATATGTCCGTCTTGCCTTTCCTCTGAGTGTAGTGAGCCGGCCAGACCCTCTGGTTACACCCAGGTGCCTTATTCTCTCCAGGCCATAACAATCTCAACCCAGTGGTTGCAAATGGCACCATCAATATTGAAACTTTTTGTTGGCTCCTGAAGGAGACGGAACAGGTCTGGGTTTGTCCTGAGTGCAATGATGTCAATTCATCACAAAGGTTGACAAACAGTTGTCTATCAGAGTGTACAACAAGCATAAGAGATAGTGCTGGAGAACTATTGCAGTCAACCTTCAATACAGAGATGCCACCACATTGACTGATCAATAAAGATTAGCAGACAGTAAACACTAACATTTCATTCAACACAAATACAAATCTTTGCATCAACATCTGTTTATTTCACAAGAATTATTTACAGAATACCTTTAACATCAGTGTGATAGACAGAACAACACACAAGTCATCATCCTTCAAATGTCAGTTTTGTCTTCACTTATCATCTACATCACCAGTACACTGAAAGATTGTGTATGGTCTGTTTTACTATGTTTCTTGTGTGTGTCCATTCTTCTGTGTGTAGTCCATTCTTCTGTGTAGAGCCCATTATTCTGTGTGTAGTCCATTCTTCTGTGTAGAGCCCATTATTCTGTGTAGAGCCCATTATTCTGTGTGTAGTCCATTCTTCTGTGTAGAGCCCATTCTTCTGTGTGGAGCCCATTCTTCCGTGTGGAGCCCATTCTTCTGTGTGGAGCCCATTCTTCTGTGTGGAGCCCATTCTTCTGTGTGGAGCCCATTCTTCCGTGTAGAGCCCATTCTTCCGTGTAGAGCCCATTCTTCTGTGTGTAGCCCATTATTCTGTGTGTAGCCCATTCTTCTGTGTGGAGCCCATTCTTCTGTGTGGAGCCCATTCTTCCGTGTAGAGCCCATTCTTCCGTGTAGAGCCCATTGTTCTGTGTGTAGCCCATTCTTCTGTGTGTAGCCCATTGTTCTGTGTGTAGTCCATTGTTCTGTGTGTAGCCCATTGTTCTGTGTGTAGCCCATTCTTCTGTGTGGAGCCCATTCTTCTGTGTGTAGCCCATTCTTCTGTGTGGAGCCCATTCTTCTGTGTGGAGCCCATTCTTCTGTGTGGACCCCATTCTTCTGTGTGTAGCCCATTCTTCTGTGTAGAGCCCATTCTTCTGTGTAGAGCCCATTCTTCTGTGTGTAGCCCATTCTTCTGTGTGGAGCCCATTCTTCTGTGTGGAGCCCATTCTTCTGTGTGGAGCCCATTCTTCTGTGTGGAGCCCATTCTTCTGTGTAGCCCATTCTTCTGTGTAGAGCCCATTCTTCTGTGTGGAGCCCATTCTTCTGTGTGTAGCCCATTATTCTGTGTAGAGCCCATTCTTCTGTGTAGAGCCCATTCTTCTGTGTGTAGCCCATTATTCTGTGTGGAGCCCATTCTTCTGTGTGGAGCCCATTCTTCTGTGTGTAGCCCATTATTCTGTGTGTAGCCCATTCTTCTGTGTGGAGCCCATTCTTCTGTGTGGAGCCCATTCTTCTGTGTGTAGCCCATTCTTCTGTGTAGAGCCCATTCTTCTGTGTGGAGCCCATTCTTCTGTGTGGAGCCCATTCTTCTGTGTGTAGCCCATTCTTCTGTGTAGAGCCCATTCTTCTGTGTAGAGCCCATTCTTCTGTGTGTAGCCCATTCTTCTGTGTGTAGTCCATTCTTCTGTGTAGAGCCCATTCTTCTGTGTGTAGCCCATTCTTCTGTGTAGAGCCCATTCTTCTGTGTGGAGCCCATTCTTCTGTGTGGAGCCCATTCTTCTGTGTGTAGCCCATTCTTCTGTGTAGAGCCCATTCTTCTGTGTAGAGCCCATTCTTCTGTGTGTAGCCCATTCTTCTGTGTGTAGTCCATTCTTCTGTGTAGAGCCCATTCTTCTGTGTGTAGCCCATTCTTCTGTGTAGAGCCCATTCTTCTGTGTGTAGCCCATTCTTCTGTGTGTAGTCCATTCTTCTGTGTAGAGCCCATTCTTCTGTGTGTAGCCCATTCTTCTGTGTGTAGTCCATTCTTCTGTGTAGAGCCCATTCTTCTGTGTGTAGCCCATTCTTCTGTGTGTAGTCCATTCTTCTGTGTGGAGCCCATTCTTCTGTGTGTAGCCCATTCTTCTGTGTAGAGCCCATTCTTCTGTGTAGAGCCCATTCTTCTGTGTGTGTCTATTCTTCTGTGTGTAGTCCATTCTTCTGTGTAGAGCCCATTCTTCTGTGTGTAGCCCATTCTTCTGTGTAGAGCCCATTCTTCTGTGTGTAGCCCATTCTTCTGTGTGTAGTCCATTCTTCTGTGTAGAGCCCATTCTTCTGTGTGTAGTCCATTCTTCTGTGTGTGGCCCATTCTTCTATGTGTAGCCCATTCTTCTGTGTGCGGTCTGTCCTTCTATGTGTGGCCCATTCTTCTGTGTGTGGCCCATTCATGAGACCCTGGAACCCAAACAAGGATATCCTACTATTTGGTTCCCTCTACACTGTGTAGGCACCAGTTAAAGAAGGTCTATAGTTTAGTTATTGTTTTAACCATTCTATACATTTCAGCTCCATACAGCAGTGCCAGTTTGACATTGACGATTCCTTATACAATGAAAGAAATCAGTTCTGGTTAAGAGTTCAGCAGACAGTGCAGGTAAAGCAAGTATATAACATATCACACACACAATCAACATCTGCAGTTTATTTTGGCAGCAGCACCAGCTAAAACCTGGCCAACTTGAGTGGAAAGTTTTCCGTGACTAGATGATCATCAGCAAACACGATGACAATGTTGATTTCAAAATCTGGCGACATAAACATTGACATTTATAGCAGTTGATATTTACACGGTAAAAAAAAAAATTACAGAAGAAAGTTTATAATGAAACAAATTAATCAACACCAAAAAAAAACACGTATTGCCATAGTTTTTCACAAGTCTTGGTCTCTCTGTATCAAGTCTTAGTCTCTGTAAAACGCCCTTTTTATATCTCATATAAACAGGACTTCTCTAACACTGCCCCTCTCTCATTTTTCTGTGAATGGAACAAAGGATTGACTGTCAACACACATGGAGAAGGAAGTGAAGTTAAAAAAAATGAGAAGGACATTAAGTGAGCTGCATGTGATAGCAAAGATAGAACAACCTGGCATGAAATTTATTGATGGCCTGATGCTTCATTGGGGGATACAGGGCAGAGAAGAAATCAACAGGAACACCTGGTCACAAAACTGTCATGTCACGGCAACAGAGAACATCTAGATGATAAATAATCAAAGAAAACTAAGTCTGAAATATGCAGCTTCTCTCTCTCTCTCTCTCTCTACATCAGCATCATCTCTGTGTCTCATTTGTTTAGAATCTGTCACTCTGTCCAGACTTCTTTGGAAACTATTCCCTGGCAATGCTAAGTAAAATATTGCACATTTCTGTTAGCAAATATTTGACCTTCTATTTCTGATATCCCTGTCTGGGTTTCGGGGGACCCAGTGTGGAGAAAACAAGAACAGACCCACTGTCTCCCCAACAAGCATGATGACAACTAACTGGGGCTTGCTTCAAAGTTGGAGTACATCTGCCAGAAAGGTAAGGGAAAAAGAGTCTGCATACAAATAAGCCAGATCTATAAAATGGATGTGCATGCAACACTTAGGCTCTGGAATAAGACTAAAAAGTCCAGAAGTGGACAAACACCCAGAAATTTCTGCCAGAGTTTACAGCCAGCAAACGCAAATAAGAAGAAGAATTTATGATGATGTTTTTTCTCACTGGGTCAAATGTTATGTCTCTATGTGGCATGTCTGGCTCAGGCGTTGTGAACACGCTTTGTAATGCCAGCCTCAAATTTAGCTGCAGGCGACTGGCAGCAGACTGTCTTGTGGTGGTTTTAACAGTGGTATCACGAGCTGATCATTGAGAAAGCAATGGCAAACTACTGTAGGTAAATTTGCCTAGAAAAACCACAACAGCAGAAAAATTCTGGGATTGTCTCTGACGATAGTCACCTCTGACGATAGTCACCTCTGATTATTGTCACCTCTGACGATAGTCACCTCCGAAGATAGTCACCTCTGATGATAGTCACCTCTGACTACAGTCACCTCTGACTACAGTCACCTCTGATGATAGTCACCTCTGATGATAGTCACCTCTGATGATAGTCACCTCTGACTATAGTCATCTCTGACGATAGTCATCTCTGACGATAGTCACCTCTGACTATATTCACCTCTGAGGACAGTCACCTCTGACTATAGTCACCTCTGATGATAGTCACCTCTGATGAGTCACCTCTGATGATAGTCACCTCTGATGATAGTCACCTCTGAGGACAGTCACCTCTGACTATAGTCACCTCTGACTATAGTCACCTCTGACCACAGTCACCTCTGATGATAGTCACCTCTGAGGACAGTCACCTCTGACTATAGTCACCTCTGACTATAGTCACCTCTGACCACAGTCACCTCTAAGGATATGGTTGAAAGTGTGCAGGACTACTTATTTTGGCTTCCCCTAAAGACCCCTTGCCTCCCCCTTTCCATGTGGCTGTGGCTTAGGGGCAATGAATGCATTTCACAATTCTCATACCAAGTTTGATTCAGTTGCAGGCCACTTTGCACTGACTTCAACCACAGTCAGAGCATTCATGTGGTCAGAAAACAATGGCAAACTGAATGTAGAATTGTCCGATAGAACCACAAACATACAACAAATTGTCAGGTTGGTTTGCGGCATCAAACAAAGGATATCTAGCTAGCTCTGAAGGACGCCTGTAACACAGAGACAAATAAACCAACTTACCAACTTTGAAATTATTGGTGGAAAGTGATGGACAGGTGAAGAGGCGAGGGAAAACCATGTAAATTGGGATCGCTACATTTCGTGCGACATCACCATCTGCGATTTGAATATTCTGGATTTCCGTGGCTGGAGAGAGAATTTGTGTAATAATTCACAAACATGTTCTAAAATATGACAAAGAATTTCTTTTCTGTCCTTTATCCCTCAAAGGAGCCTAGGCATACAACCATTTCATTTCCTCTCTATGCCTTTAACTTCACTCTTGTTTCCTTCTTTATGTTCTTTTTTTCACTCTTTTTTTTTACAGCCACTACCCGCTAATTAGCATGTCGTGAAAGTTGACTAGTTGAAGGTGTTTTCTCCAGTCATAATGCATCTGCCTGAGAGGTAAGAAACCAACAGTCTGCATTCAAAAAAGCCAGAACTGTGAAGCAAATCTGCATACAAAATGTAAATTCTGGAAGAAGGGCAGAGTCCTGAAGTGGACAAACACTCTTCTATGTTAGAAATTCACCAAAGTTAAGGAATGAACTATTTTTTGTTAGAAATTCACCAAACTAAAGATATAAACTTTTCTTTGTTAGAAATTCATCAAAGTTCAGGAATGAACTATTCTTTGTTAGAAATTCACAAAAGTTAAGGAATGAACTATTCTTTGTTAGAAATTCACCAAAGTTAAGGGATGAACTATTCTTTGTTAGAAATTCACCAAACTAAAGGTATAAACTGTTCCTTGCTAGAAATTCATCAAAGTTCAGGAATGAACTATTCTTTGTTAGAAATTCATCAAAGTCCCCACAAGTCCACAGACTGTATTCTTCTTCTGAGAACAGAAGTGCAGACAGCCACCAATCAGATGTGAAAACAAAACCATCCCAAAAACAAGATGAATGTGAGCATTCCGGGATGGCTGAGCAAAGGAAGCTGTAAAGGATGAAGTAAATTTGACTAGAAAAACCCCAGCAGCTAAAAAATGCTGGGGTTGGTTCTGCAACGTGCTGTAAAGGATGCACAACTAACTGACTAAACGACGGAGGGCCCTCTGGGAGTGCAATAGATCATTACGGTCTGAGGAGAATGTTGCTACAGGGAGTTAACAGGGGATCTGGGGAAACGTATTAAATTCTCAAGAACCAAAGTGTCACTGACTCCAGACAGACAGACTAACAAAATGACACATACCATCTTTGGCATATCCCTCTGCACAGCCACATGTCTCAACCCTGACCAGCTGAATCTCTATAGATTTGATAGCAGCTTCACAGAGTTCAACTGTCAGCTGGGGATAGAGGCACAAGATACTTCCATTGTTAAGCTAACATAAGGATAAGGATACCAGATCTCACTCACTCATTCCTTCACTGATCATACCACAAGGGGGCTGCATGGTCTCGAGGCATAGTGTCGGCTTCAAGTGCTAGAGGTTCCGGGTTCAATCCCCAGTAAGGGCTTTAATTTTTTTCTCCTGGACTTGGACTTCTAGTAATTTCCCCTGGTCCCTGGGTAGTGAGATCGGACGCCCATGTGCTTTGCTGGGCACATAAAAAATCCCTTGGCAGTTGGAAATTGAAAAGAGTAGCCTAACAATGCTGCTCGGTCAAAATTTGGAGTTAAAAATCTACCCAAAGTATTTCAGGATCCTCGCCGCTGCTACAGAGACTGTGCACTGTGCTGAGCTTCTTCGGACTCAGACTTGAGTTAGAAGAAGAATGGAGCACTTATGGGTTAAATCCGTGTGCCATGATGTTGATCCGTTGTTAAAATGATGGTGACCACCGAGTGCCAACTGGCCTATAAAATATAGGTCTAACCCTACACATTTAACGTGCCTGAAGTTGTGGAAAAGGCTTGTTAACTTTTTACTCTCTGGCAGAGGATCCACCAGGATCATAACTAGTCTTTTGTTTTGTATCCAAATCCTGTTTGCCAGCTTCAAGACATCTGTTCGCTGCTAACTGAATTATGCCACAAATTTATTACCATGTGTTTACTCATCAGCCACTCTGTCCTTGTAAGTAAAGATCTTTATCATGACTTTGGGCACATCGGGCAAATGGGAAGAGCATCTATATTTTTACAGACCAATCGGCACTAGATGGGTGATGTAATAAGCATTACGCCGGCCGTCTTGACTTTCCTAGGACATACATCCTGGTACTCATTTTAGACTTGGTTGACCTACGACACCCCATACCATGATAAAAATCCATGCACCAGGTGGGGTTTGATCGTGGAAGGTTGGAATTAGGAGTCACAAAGTTGAAGCAACTGATGTCGCCACTCTGTCCTTGGAAAGGCAAAATATATAGTATACCAAGTAGATTGCAGCATCCTTGTCTCATATAGCACCTGTGAATGTGATCAGGGAAAATCCATCCCCTTGCTCCCAGGAGAGTTTGGTCTTTCATAGCTTTCACATCCATGGGTCATCAGGTGACAGCAAACAGCTTGCTACTCCACTCAATCCAGGCTGACCCATTCAAACTTACTCAACTTCACCCAAATACAGATCACCTGACTTACCCTTACTTTAATCCACTCAACCTCATTTAATCCCACAGCCCCTTTCACCCCCAGTTCTTCACTCATCTTTATTCCACTCAACCTCAAGTTTCTGAAGCTGCAGGTTTAGAATCAGGACTTGAAACGTTGAAGCAGCACCTCCACAGACTGGGCTGCCTGTCTGGCTAACATCTCAAGAACTGGTAGACTCTCCACAGACTGGGCTGCCTGTCTGGCAAACATCTCAAGAACCACTAGACTCTTCACAGACTGTGGAACTTAACCTCTGGTACTGTACACCTGACTGGTTCCTGCAGGGGGAGAAGAGATCTGCAACACAATCCCCACAGGCATCAGAATGTAAGGCTACAGTAAAGCTAATGCCAACAAGTTAATCCGCTGAACTGTGATTAAGAAGCTTAACTAAAGGAAGAGGGATAGAGGTATAATACACACATAATAATAAAAATCTGACATTTCGGCCAGAGCCTTTATCAACAAAAACCACACCAACAACAACAAACTATAGCTTTTTCATTAAGCATCATAGTGAGAGTTGAGTGGACTAACAGAAGAATACCTCTCCAGTCAGTGGTTTTGTTATCTGAAGGCAAGAAGAATCCAAGTGGCCCTTGACTTTAAACTTGGGCACATTTTGTTTCTGAAACAGTCCAAGAAAAGAGAACAGGTAATACAAGGCACAACTACATCAGGTAGAGAAGGTTATAGGTCAAGATCAGGTAGAGAAGGTTATAGGTCAAGATCAGGTAGAGAAGGTTATAGGTCAAGATCAGGTAGAGAAGGTTATAGGTCAAGATCAGGTAGAGAAGGTTACAGGTCAAGATCAGGTAGAGAAGGTTATCTGTCCAGATCAGGTAGAGAAGGTTATCTGTCCAGATTAGGTAGAGAAGGTTATAGATCAAGATCAGGTAGAGAAGGTTATAGGTCAAGATCAGGTAGAGAAGGTTATAGGTCAAGATCAGGTAGAGAAGGTTACAGGTCAAGATCAGGTAGAGAAGGTTATCTGTCCAGATCAGGTAGAGAAGGTTATCTGTCCAGATCAGGTAGAGAAGGTTATAGATCAAGATCAGGTAGAGAAGGTTATAGGTCAAGATCAGGTAGAGAAGGTTATAGGTCAAGATCAGGTAGAGCAGGTGACAGGTCTAAGGAATCAAATTCACTGCACTGGGTTTTATCCCACAAGACTCAGTCTCTCTCTCTCTCTCCACACTAAGACCGCTGCACAAAGCAGGAACTCTGTAGCTCAAGGAATGCTCTCCTGGGATCTCCTTAAATACTACACAAGTAAACAACATAAAGATGAATGGAATAGGAATGCAACAGGAACTTCAGAAGTTAACTATAAAGCAAAAATGAAAGCACATGTGACAGGGCAACCTGGTCACAGTTGATCACCAATCTATCAGCTAAAGAAAAAAAACATACAATTACTAGACACTTTCTCCTTCTTCTGAATTCTCCCTTAACAGCTAGGATGTGATGGCTGTACTTTTCGGCCCAACACGTCTTAATTCATTAAACCAATAATTATTTAAATTTTATGACAGGTCGGTTAGAGGGCAGTGGGTCTATTATGCTTTCAAAGACAACAACAACAACAATGACAATAACAACAACGACAACAACACCAACAACAACACATATATATATATATATATATATATATATATATATATATATATATATATATATATATATATATATATATATATATATATATATATATAATATATATATTATATATATATATATATATATATATTATATATATGGGGAGACATTATCTTGAAATATTTACATTTTTCAGGATGTGAACATCAAATGGAACTAGCTTATAGACTATATCAAAGCTGACCTGCTCAGGACATGTTAAACACCACAAAGGACTGGAGAGAACAGTTTTAGAGGGTATGGATCCCAACAGAAAAGGTATGGGGTTGATCAGCACGATGAGAGACATAGGATATGAAACATATACTGGACATGAGAGTTTACAAGGCAGGAAAGTTGTTATGGTTTTTTTCTGATAAGAGGAAGGTTCGGCAAATTTATCTGCAACATGATGATGTTGATAATACACTAAATTTAATTTCAGACACTTCTTTACAGCTCTGTATAGTAATGTAAATTACTGATGTTTCACTTATAAATACTTTACAGAGCACCAATCCAAATCAATCCTAGACTGTGAAGTCTGTGGCAATGGCATTAGCCATACGACCTCACATCTGCACATTCAAAACCTACTCAACCTTACCGGCCTTAAAGCTGGGAAACAGCCAGCAAAAGTTTCACCCCCCTCCCTCCCCCATTTCCAGTTTTCAATCAGTTATTATTATTCTGCTTTCACCCTTAAAAGGGCAGTTTGTATGTTACAGTTTACAGCTAGGCTGTGATATCTACACCTTTGAACCTCACACATCTGATTTAAGCTAATTCCTATTTAGTCACCCTTTACAAGGGTGGAGAAGGAGGAGGTCACTGGGTCAATTGAAGGGGCCTGAAACCCACTGTTACAAGTTTATGTTTCAACTGAGTTTACCCACTTGCAGCCATGTATATCCCTCTTACATTGAAACCGGTGCAATCAGTTTCTGCCGATTTTCATTCGTGTGAGCGTGTGGTCCAAGTATCATGAAGCCTGGCACTGTCTGTAGCTTGTCAAAACAAACAAAACACATTTCACATGTTTCAGATAGAACAAAACATATTTCAGATAGAACAAAACATATTTCACATGTTTCAGCTAGAACAAAACACATTTCACATGTTTCAGATAGAACAAAACATATTTAAGATAGAACAAAACATATTTCACATGTTTCAGCTAGAACAAAACACATTTCACATGTTTCAGATAGAACAAAACATGTTTCACATAGAATCTTACTTCCTTCACATTCGTCAGAGTCTCCGGGGTGATAGTAAAATTTATCAATTTCGGTTTGGCTTTCTCTTCCTGGCTCTGAAATAGAATACCAGATGTAAATCACCATGGTCATATCACAGTTATAGATTTAGACAGATATGGAAAGCCTCTTGCATCAGGAAAATAAAATGGAGACATTATGAAAGGGCATTTGTATCAGAAACAATAAAACACAGTGACAGAATGGGAAGCTTCTTGCATCAGGAAAAAGAAATCGAGGTTGTGATTCTTGCATCAGGAGAAGAAAGAAAATGAAGACAGCATGGAAAAGGTTATGTACGGAGAGGGGGAAGGGGGGGGGGGGGGGATAGATGAAAACAAACTGAAGGAATAAGAAGGTCAGAAACCATTAGAAGCTGGTGGCATAGGAGTCAGTTTACCTCCCAAAATCATAGGTAAAACTGTGGCGCGGTGATTTATGTCACAGGCGTGAGGGGAAGTTAAGTCCAACATGATGTGTATAAGGAGATACTCCGCACGTCACTCGGGCGCCAGTCCTTTAATATCCTGGTTGTACGGAACCTCACGCAAGACCCCGGCAGCACGTCCTCGTCGTGCGCCACGGATAATGTCTCAAATGAGCATTAACAGAGCTGTCAGGGGATCTCGGAGTTTGGCGGCCCCCAGAGGTGATGTGTCCTTGTGGCTCTCATCAGCCCGCCCCCAAACGCTTGGGTGAAAAATGTTATTATAACTCATTAGGAACATGAGTAGGTCTGCCAAACGTACAGCCAAAATTACAACCCTTGGTTAAAAGACTGCGGAGTAAAGAGAACATTGTTCACTGCACATCCTCTGTTAACCCTCAGTGTCGTCGTCACCGCGCTGGGGTACACCACAACAGCAACCATCCATAGGCTGGCCATTCATGTACATCCTCGGTTAACCCCCAGTGTCGTCGTCACCGCGCTGGGGTACACCACAACAGCAACCATCCATAGGCTGGCCATTCATGTACATCCTTGGTTAACCCTCAGTGTCGTCGTCACCGCGCTGTGGTACACCATAACAGCAACCATCCATCGGATGGCTAAGCCTAAATGTCCGACAAAACTAGATCATACGGATCAAAATCTGCCCTCAAAATTTGTATTGAACTGAAAAAGACTGAATGTCCACACCCAAAGACCCCACTCGCCCGAGTGTTGGGACAAAACTGATACGATATGCCTGGAGCAGGATGTAAAATTCTGTCGGGCTAACGGCTCGTCAAAGAAATCTAACGTGCGAAGAAAAAAAGAATGTACCTATCTGTGTGGTCACAAAAGTCCAAAACCCACGGGCTGCTCCCCGCTGACTTCCAGAGGGCGCAGCCCCTGTCGAGCGGGAGGCCTGATACGGTTGTGAGGTTAAGCAGGCATGTGCAGGACGTGACGATTCCTTGGGTGAGCCCAGAACCAGAGCGCCATGTGCCGGCTCTGCATACATGGATGCCTCCTTGGATGGCGGGGAATGCCCATGATCTGCCCCTGCCTTCCCTTGAGGGCTAACTGCTCCACAGGGGGCTGACCCAAAGGGGTACTCCGGGGGCAATACCTGCGGCAAAGGAGACAATGTGGACACCACACAAATCAGGCAACGTCTCGACCCACACAAAACAATGGCCACAGTCACCCTAGAAATAGGCCTGACGTCTTCCTTCGAAGTCGGCGTACAGCTGCCCATGAGGCAGGGAAATGAAAAACGGTTGTACACGCAAAAATCAGGTCCAGGTGAAAGCCAAAAGTCCAAGCGCACGATTACCTGACCTACCACTGGAATTCACAGCCGGTGTTCGATGAAAAAAAAAAAAAAAAAAATAGGTAAAACTGAAATGAGAAAAAAAAACTGCAGGCATAGTCAACTTATTTCAGGAAAATTATAGAAAAAGAAGAAGAGGAAGAAGAAAAGGAATATGAGAAAAAGGAGGAGGAGAAGGAGAAGACTCAAGGTGACTGTTTCAGCAAGATATTTTTATTCTTCAGTCAAGAAAGATAAATTCTCCCAACACAAACCAGCTATGATACAGACGCCACAATGAAAACAAGCAAGACATTCTTGAATCTGTGCCTTGCAGAATGATGCCATGATCACGCATCTCCAGACTGATCCTTGTCGTGGACCAGATTTTTGAAGATATTCTCCAGGCCACAGTCTCAGACCATCTGTCATCATTTTCTGTTTGTGTCTGCTACAGTAAATCTTTCCAGTCATTACAATGTAGCTCTTCGGCAGCTGAGATTTGTTACAGCAGATACTGTATTTATCTCAGCCTCTCAGAAAACATTTAGTTATATATTTTTCAGCCTTGTTCTCAGGCTGTTCTAATCATATAGGGCTCCAAGTCTATTCCTCCACTGCGTTCAATTAAGACTCGGGCCAGCTGCATTAACGTATCGTTAGCCCAGTGTGGTGACGTCAGCAGCATGGCTTGTCAGTTGGAGCTGGCGTTGGTTCAACCCTGTGAACTGTCTCAATATCCTGGATGGAATCCAGCTCTGCACCTTTGGCCTCTCTCCGCCAATGTTCTGGCCTCTCTCTGTCAATGTTCTGGCCTCTCTCCGCCAATGTTCTGGCCTCTCTCTGTCAATGTTCTGGCCTCTCTCTGTCAATGTTCTGGCCTCTCTCTGTCAATGTTCTGTCCTCTCTCCATCAATGTTCTGGCTTCTCTCCGTCAATGTTCTGGCCTCTCTCTGTCAATGTTCTGGCCTCTCTCTGTCAATGTTCTGTCACTTTGCCAAGAAAAAAGACAAGATCAGCTTCTTCTTCATGTTCACTAGTTTCAAAACTCTGGCAGAAAGTTCTGGTTGTCTGACCATTTTTGAACTTTAGTCTTCTTACAGAACTTGAATCTTGAGCACATATGTGTTTTACAGATCTTAAATCTTGAGCGCATATGTCTTTTACAGATCTTGCTTATTTGATCAGAATGTTGATTTCTTGCCTCTCAGGCAGATGCATTCGAAGGACAGCCCTAAATAGTTACGACATCCTTGTTAGAGAGGCAGTGGGCCTATTCCACCCACCACAATGGAACCCTGGAACCCACATAGGGAACGTCAAGACTAAACAGCAACTACCTCCCTGTGTAGAAGAGGTCTCATTCTTAATTACCACCCAAAAAAAAAAAATTGGAAGTTTAGAAAGATGCCTGCTAGTCCCAGGCTACTTACCTTATATTCAATGATGAACTCAGTTTGCTTCTGCAAGTCCTTGTTGAGAAGTGACCGCTTCATGTCCACTCGTACTAGATACTGGAAATATGCCATCAAGTCAGCGCTTTCATACATAACGACAGTATCAAATATAACAACAGTGTCAGATGTAACAATTTTGTATTTGTATTCTTCCCCTCCAGATACGCATTCTTTAGGATTGTCAGGATTATTGATATAAAACAACAGTCATAAGACAAAGATGACATATTCTGACATACATTGAGTTGATTCAAGAACTGACATCACAGCACTCAGGGCATTTCCACAAGCACTCCATCCATATCTTCAGCAGCCAGTGCAGAGTTCCAACACCAATGGTGCCAGTAGCATTCACATTATATGTGCGTCTTGCTTTTCTTCTGAGCATCGAGTATTGGCCAGATCCCCTCGTTACTCCCCGCTGCATCACTCTCATCAGACTGAGGTGATCCATTTGCTTCTCTGAACTGTATACTTTCTCCCACAAGGCCTTAACCATGTCTGCCTTATCATGTATCAGTATTCCACCAAGTTGTGCAGAGCCAGCCAGTCTGTCCACCTGTTCATTTTCCAACATGGCGGCATGCCCCAAAGAAAAGACCCAAACAATGCTCCTCATGCGTGACCCCCAAAGCAAAGCATGCCACTCTGCACGAAGCATGCCTGCACTAACCTTCCTGAGTATGCTTTCTGAGTCAATGACACATCGTGAGAAGATGGAACAAGCAGAGGATCAGCAAACAGGCACTACAATGAGAAATAAATGGACTGAGGAAGCGAGGACATCCAAATTTTGAGTTGAGTTGAATCAAGAATTGACATCACAGCACTCAGGGCACTCCCATAAGTGCTCCGTCCTCATCTTTAGCAGCCAGCGCAGAGTTCCAATACTGACAATACTGGTCACAATCTGGTTATATGTCCGTCTTGCCTTTCCTCTGAGTGTAGTGAGCCGTCCAGACTCTCTGGTTACACCCAGGAGCCTCATTCTCTCTAGGCCACAATAATCTTGTTTCTCTACTGAATCCATTGCTTGTTCCCAAAGGGCCTTGACCACATCTGCCTTGTCATGTATCAATTCACCATTTAGTGGTGCAGATCCGACCAATCTGTCTGCCTGTTCATTACCCACTATGCAGGCATAGAGGACATCCAAAGGAAACCATCAAATGAATGTTCATGAGAGGTGAAAGGTTCTGGACTGGATCCCATCCATGATACTGAAGGGATCTGCACAGGACAGAATGGAATGGATGACTCAGACTGTGAGCCCTATGTGACACACAACTGCACAATTAGACAATGATGATGAGGATTGAATGATCTCAAAACTGCAACAACCAGCAAAGACCCACCTGAATGTTCACAAACACACCATGGTAAGTCTCGTACAGTGTCTTGCCTGGCTTCGGCTTCAGTGGCACCTCAAACGGAATCTCCGTCTTCCCCGGTGGAAGCTTCCCAGGCTTGGCCACTTCCAGTGTGTAGCTCAATAACTGGATTGGCTGAGGACAGACATGAGGTGCCAGAATAAGGGTCGAGATGAGGTGACAGGAGTAAGGGTCAAGATGAAGTGACAGGAGTAAGGGTCAAGATGAGGTGACAGGAGTAAGGGTCAAGATGAGGTGACAGGAGTAAGGGTCAAGATGAGGTGACAGGAGTAAGGGTTGACATGAGGTGACAGGAGTAAGGGTAGACACGGGGTAAATATAACCAAACCCACCATATCTACACACTATGGTTGCAACCAGTATTAGAGCTGTTATACAGTGCAATAGCCTCTGCCAAATGGCATAATGTCATTTAAAAGTTGAGTTGAGTTGATGAGTTTTAAAAACCGTCACCACAGCACTCGGAACATTCTCATAAGTGCTCCATCCCCATCTTCAGCATCCAATGAAGAATTCCAACTCCGATGGTACCAGTAAGTTTCACTGTAAGTCCACCTTGCCTTTCCTCTTAGTTTGAAGTGTCGAGCAGAACCCTTAGTCACTCCAATAACCCCTAGTCACTCCAATAACCCCTAGTCACTCCAATAACCCCTAGTCACTCCAATAACCCCTAGTCACTCCAATAACCCCTAATCACTCCATAACCCCTAGTCACTCCAAGAACCCCTAGTCACTCCAAGAACCCCTAGTCACTCCAAGAACCCCTAGTCACTCCAATAACCCCTAGTCACTCCAATAACCCCTAATCACTCCAAGAACCCCTAGTCACTCCAATAACCCCTAGTCACTCCAAGAACCCCTAGTCACTCCAAGAACCTCTAGTCACTCCTGTCTTTTTTTGAATCCTTCATAAATAGGAAAAGCAGAAGTGGCCGCAACAGAGAAACAAAGTATATAAATATCACATTAAACAACAAAGAAACAAAGAATACAAACATTTTGTTAAACAACAGTGAAGCAAACAATACAAACATTATGTGAAACAACATAACAACAACAAATCAAATGACTGGTTGTTAAAATCCTTCATCTTAATTCTGGGCACATGGTTAAAAAGGGCGATGCATTTCACATTATTGACACTTCAGCCAACCGTAGATAACTGTGATATGCAGAAGCATCAGCAATCAGCCGGTTTAATCGAGAACTTTGCCGATAGAAAGAAATGCTCGTCACTTTGCATTTACCTAGGTAAAACAGACAATGTGTGAATGTAGTCGATTTTGTGATTTAGTTTGAAGGTTTCATTTATTTGCTTCATTTAAATATTTTGTTACTGTAGTATGCACCTGACGAGATACAGCGAAACATGCCAGGCAATAAATTGTGCAATCTATTTTTGGTGTCTTATTTGTTTTAATTCATAACGTGGAAACATTGCTTTGATTATGTAAAACAATAGAAAAACAAAGAATGCAAACGCTGTGTTAAAAAAAAAGAAACGAACACAAACACTGTATTTAACAGTAGAGAAACAAAGAATACAAACATTATGTTACCAAACATTATGTAAAATGACAGAGAATACAAACATTATGTTACCACTAGAGAAACATACAAATATTATGTGAAATGACAGAGAATACAAACATTATGTTACCACTAGAGAAACATACAAATATGATGTAAAATGACAGAGAATACAAACATTATGTTACCACTAGAGAAACATACAAATATTATGTGAAATGACAGAGAATACAAACATTATGTTAAACAACAGAGAAACACAGAATTAAAACCTTATGTTAAATAACAGAGAAACAAAGAATTCAAACCTTATGTTAAACAACAGAGAAACAAAGAATACAAACCTTATGTTAAACAACAGAGAAACCAAGAATTCAAACCTTATGTTAAATAACAGAGAAACAAAGAATTCAAACCTTATGTTAAACAACAGAGAAACAAAGAATACAAACCTTATGTTAAACAACAGAGAAACCAAGAATTCAAACCTTATGTTAAACAACAGAGAAACCAAGAATTCAAACCTTATGTTAAACAACAGAGAAACCAAGAATACAAACCTTATGTTAAACAACAGAGAAACCAAGAATTCAAACCTTATGTTAAACAACAGAGAAACAAAGAATACAAACCTTATGTTAAACAACAGAGAAACAAAGAATACAAACCTTATGTTAAACAACAGAGAAACAAAGAATTCAAACCTTATGTTAAACAACAGAGAAACCAAGAATTCAAACCTTATGTTAAACAACAGAGAAACCAAGAATTCAAACCTTATGTTAAACAACAGAGAAACAAAGAATTCAAACCTTATGTTAAACAACAGAGAAACAAAGAATACAAACCTTATGTTAAACAACAGAGAAACCAAGAATTCAAACCTTATGTTAAACAACAAAGAAACAAAGAATTCAAACCTTATGTTAAACAACAGAGAAACCAAGAATTCAAACCTTATGTTAAACAACAGAGAAACCAAGAATTCAAACCTTATGTTAAACAACAGAGAAACCAAGAATTCAAACCTTATGTTAAACAACAGAGAAACCAAGAATTCAAACCTTATGTTAAACAACAGAGAAACAAAGAATTCAAACCTTATGTTAAACAGCAAAGAAGCAGAGAATACAAACATTAGACTACATATCAGAGGTTGGTGTTGTGATGCGCACCTTGAGAGAGTTGTAGAAGGCCTCGAAGACACCAACACTTTTAGCACTCAGCTGCATGTTGACCATGCCTTCAGTGAGCAGGCTGATGCCCTGGTGCTGCAGCTCTCCCTTGCTCTGTACCACAACCACACCGGCCAGCAACTCCTGCAAGGTTTAGGGTGACAACAGGCAATCAGTTCAGTAAAAGCATATTTGTATGTGTGTCTCCTCCAATTCTGTGTTTGTGCATGTGTGTATGGGGGGGGGGGGGTGTGCATAGGTCTCCCTCTCATTCTGTGCTTGCGGTGTGTGTTTATGTGTGTGTGTGTTTACATGTGTGTGTGTGTTTCCCTCTCACTGTTGTCTCCCTGGTTTGTGATTTCTTCTTTCTCTTACTTTGTCTCCCTGTTAGGCTTTTTTGTATATGATTCTCTCTCTCTTACTCTGTCTCCTTGTTAAGCTCTAGTGGTAATATACCCTACACCCAACCAACACATGCTGGAGTCTGCAGAAGCAATGGATATACACGAGTAAATCTAAGCAGAGAGACAGGCTGGTCAGTTGAAGACAACTGTGGTAGAGCCGACACTGAAACAATGACACTGTATTTTGTGCACTTCAGCTGTAATGCTGCATTAATTCTTGTGCTTCACTGTGAGATGTCTGCCGTATGTACCCGACCAGACAGTACCATCTACCCCAGACCTTTGGCTGTGTAGTCTACTGTTTGGTCTTGGGAGCAGGCGACGCCCACCTACTAAACTGTGCAGCAGCAGAGTGGACAACACAGACCGGGACTAACTGCATCTAACAAGAGGACAAGCAAGAAGATGGACTGTTCAGTTTGAAGCCATTCTTATTTCATCGGCCCACGGAATTATAGTATTACTACTTATAGATGGTATTAAGTATTATTAGTAAAGTAAACATTTATGCTTTTTTAATTATTTAGTCAGTGTGTAGGAAGGAGTGTGCCGGCGACAAAAAGGGCTAGGCTAAACCTCCCAACTGTATACTGATATACTGTATCTCTTGACTGACGTTTGATGTCGAAGAGTAAAGAGAGTATATGTGAGCGATCAGTAATATAAACTAATAGAAATCTGATGTCCCCGAGAGTGTATTTGTTGAACCAGTCCGAACTTACCCCCTCTCTGTAGGTCTTGTTCACTTTCTTCAGTCTGATGTCTAGAGCTGCCATTTTGATCTGATCATGTGATTCGGGATACCAAAACTAGTTTCTTCTACACGGAGAGCGGAGACTTTAACCCCAAATATCATCATCAAGTGCCTTTCCACCTGGCGTAGTCGATCTTGCTCGTCAGTATAATATAATGTAACCCATAGCAACGTGTACAGTTGTATGTGATGCAACTTTTCCACGGCATCACTGAAAGTTGACAAGAATCTTCTCCCGCTGTCTTTCTCTAATAAAAATCGTCGCCATATCTAAAAGAAAAAGTCCAGATTTCCAAGCTGTTCCGTCGGGGTTCAATACATTTCATTTCTGGTGGCATGCATTCTTTTAAAAATCCAGCATAATACACACCAGCGCGCACGCACGCACGCATGACCACACACACACACAATGTAGGAACAGAGAAATAGAGAGAGATACAAAAAAAAGGGCGAGAGAGACAGATAGAGGGTGCAAAAACGGAAAGAGAAAAGAGAAAAGGAACTGAGCAGAGAGGTGAGGGAGAGATATGAGAGGGAGAGAAAGAGATAGGGATGAAAAAGTTTTTAAAAGGGTAGGAAACTATAGAGACGAGAAGGGGAAAAAGGGGGGGGGGGAGAAAAAACAAATAGTTGGTGTTAGCTCTACAATTACAATGAACAAACAAGAGACGTTAAGAGGCGGAGAGAAAGACAGTGGGTAAGAAAATGTAGAGGAAGAGAACAAGACAGATGGAGAGAGAGAGAGAGAGAGAGAGAGAGAAAGAAAAAGAGGATAGTGGGAGAAAAGAGGAAGAAAAGGAGGAGAAAGAGCGAGAGAGAGAGAGAGAGAGAGAAGAGAGAGAGAAAGATAAAAGATAAAGAAAAAGATGAGAGAGAGCGAGCGAGAGAGAGAAAATAAAAATAAAAAGAGAAGAGAGAGCGGGAGAGAGAGAAAACAGAAAGAAAAAGGAGAAAGAGAAAGCGAGAGTGAGAGAAAAGAGAAAGAAACAGATGAGAGAGAGAGAGAGAGAGAGAGAGAGAGAGAGAGAGAGAGAGAGAGAGACAGAGAGAGAAAAGAGACAGAAAAAAGATGAGAGAGAGAGAGAGAAAAATAAGAGAAAGAAAAAGATGAGAGAAAGACAGAGAGAGACAGAGAGAGAGAAAGATAGATAGATAGAGAGAGAGAGAGAGAGAGAGACCAATAGAAAAAGTTTATAGAAAACGAGACACTCATATTGTGCAATTGAATGCGATTATATTTAAGGTTCAGTTAGGGTTCACTGCAACACCACACCTAACAACACATAGATGAGCCCGATCTCGAAGCTGGGAATCCTGTTAAGGGACAGAGTTCTCTAATTGATTACTGATTACTGATTTAAGAATCGACATCCTAGCACATCGGGCATACCCATAGGTGCTCCGTCTCCCGCAGCAAAAGACATAAGGTGTAGATGCTAACTGTTCCCGTAGCACACTGATTATACACACGCCGATCTCTTCCTTTCATCAGTCCATCCTTGCCAGATCCACACTTAATTCCTTGTTCACACATTTTTGCCCATTTTATCTAATCTCGTATCTTCTGCCAAAAGTCGTTCATGCGTGGTCTTCAGAATATCTCCATTGTCCAATACGTTGCCGTAGCTCCCGCTTGTGTAGCCAAAGTTCTCTAACACATTTGCAAGACGCGAGGATGGGTTGAGTGGTTTCCCTTTCATATCTGTGTGTTATCACCCATTTTCGTCCTTATTAGGACGAAATTTTTTGTCATTTGAAGCCTTACCCTGGCTTTTGCCAGGGGCCGCAATATAGGCAGGCCATACATATGGCCAAATGTCTGAACGCGGTTTCTGGGACCTCTCCACGGCGATCCTCATCCGCATGGTGGCACTTTGTGTCATCGGGTGTTTATCGCTTGTGTGATGTCCTGGTGGGGTAGAAAGTCAGTCAGTCAGTCAGTCGGTTTTCCTTTCAAATATATCCAATTTCGTCCTTTTTAGGACAAAATTTTTTGTCATTTGAAGCCCTACTCTGGCTTTTGCCAGGGGCCGCAATATAGGCAGGATATATAATTGGCCAAATGTCTCAACGCGGTTTCTGGGACCTCTCCACGGCGATCCTCATCCACATGGTGGCACTTTGTGTCATCGGGTGCTTATCGCTTGTGTGATGTCGTGGTTGGGTAGAAATTCAGTTCAGTTCAGTTTCCCTTACCATGTGTAGATGTTTTCTTCTTAAATACGTGTTTATTCGTCGGCTCTGTGGCTGTCGATGCGAACGCTTCGTAATGCCGGGATGCTGGGTTCGATCCTAGCTGCGGGCCACGCGCCTTGCGTTGGTTTCGACAGTAGTATCAATAAAGCCGACCGTACAGTGGCAATGGCAAACTACTGGACGTAAATTTGCCTAGAGAAACCCCACAACAGTCAGGGGCTGCTTGGGTTGGTTCTGCAACGTCCTGTAAAGGAAACGCAACTAACCTTACCTTACGTGTTTATTCATTTGACACTATTTCATACCTAATATTATGGTGGCACTTTGGCACTGGTGTTTATCGCTTGTGTGATGTCCTAGTGAGGTACAACAAAAGAGAGAGAGAGAGAGAGAGAGAGAGAGAGAGAGAGAGAGAGAGAGAGAGAGAGAGAGAGAGAAAGGGTGGGGGGGGGGGTCGGTTAAAAAATAAGAAAACGATATGAATGAATGAATCAAGAATTAACATCAATACATTCCATACATTCCAACAATTGCTCCGTCCCCCTATTCAGTAGCAAACTAAGAGTCAACAAGCTAATAGTACCGGTTGAATATCCCACAGAGCCTCTAGTTAGCCGTTTAATTTGTCTTACAATGTATGGATTCTCAGTCTGTTTTATGACACTGTCCATTTGATCACAGTGAGCCTTCACCATGTCCCCTTTATCATAAAGTAGCTTACCGCCCAGAGGATCGGCAGCGGCTATTCTATCAGCCTACTTGTTACATCGCACACAGTATGAGAAAACAAATGAGAGATGCTATATACCAGAGGTTCTCAAACTGGGTGCCGCGGCTAAAAAAAAAGTTTGAATATCGCTGCTATATAGCATAGTTGATTGCAAACAACAGTTTGAAGAGCGGGGTGGTAAGGTCGGAGGAGGGGAGGGGCTAGTAGAGCGTGTTAGTGTGAAGTGTCACATGGCACGTGTTATTGATCCGGTAGTAAAACAGGATACAGACACATTGTAAATCTTCCCGCTAACATAACCTGCATCCCATAATAACACAACCTCGAGTTCCTGCATCCCATAATAACACAACCTCGAGTAGCTGCTAAAGGAAGAAACACGAAGCTGACACATTGACAGCTCAGGTTGTACATATATTGACCAAACGCTATGAATCAGAAACCCCACGTCGAGGACTCGGAAAAGCTGCGCTTGGATACAACCGAACGTTCCGGCTGATGTTTTTATCAGCAAAAAATAAAAATAATCATAAGCGACCCCTCTGAACAGAGAAATCATGCAGAGAAATAATTACAACCAAATGTCAGTTGACATAGACTTCTGTTGTATTTATTCTTGGAAATATTCTACGAATGAAACTAATTAAGGGCATATTGTTTAAATGTTGAGAAGCCATGTTGAGCCTAATATGTTGTCATGATAGCTTTGTATTTTTGATTTTGCCTAGTGTATCCTGTAAAAAGAAGTTCGCGTGAGAGCGCAGTGGCATGTTTAAGATTATTTAAAGTAGCCCCTACATAGAAACCTGGCAAAGCAGGACTTTTGTCAAAAACGACCTTGGCTTCCAGGTCGACCCAGCCTTGAGTAGGTAGGGGTGCAGTCCCAGGAGGTAAAGACAGTCGGCGTGATGCTGACCACACCACCCATGTTGTACCGATTGGTCTATAAAAATATAGGTCTAGCCCTATATGCCCTATACGCCTGAAGCGTGGAAAAGGGTCCTTTCTCGGCTTTTTTTAACCTAGGTAGAATGTTTCTGCCCTTCAATACTTTGACACTCTATAAATGAATGCCAACAGAGTAGAGGCCAACCCCCTTCCCCTCCCCCACCTTTTCCCCCATAGTTCATGTTTCTGGTGTCAAGGGAGATATAATGTCCTGCTTCGTGCTTTTTTGACTGCTTCCACCAAAGACACATCGTGGTACTGTCGAGTTTCTCTGATGCTCTTGGGAACAAGCAACGGAATCAGCAGAGAAAGAAGATTATTATGGCCTGGAGAGAATGAGGCACCTGGGTATAACCAGAGACTCCGGCCGGCTCACTACACTCAGAGGAGAGGCAAAACGGACTTTTAACCAGATTAAGACCTGTACCATCAGTATTGGAACTCTGCGCTGGTTGCTAAAGATGAGGACGGATCACGCATGGGAATGCCCCGAGTGCTGTGATGTCAATTTTTGGTGACAGCCAATTTTATTTGTGAACATTATTTTCAACTCACCTTACAGCTGCCAATTCAATTATCTCATGCACTGTTGCAAACTCTAATACACATTCACTGAAAGCGGAAGTTGTACGCTATTCTTTCTGCATATATTCTGTGTTACCTATTTATGTAGGAAGTTTCACGTGCCGATAGTTGTTGGTACTTTCCCAGCGATCTCTCTCTCTCTCTCTCTCTCTCTCTCTCTCTCTCTCTCTCTCTCTCTCTCTCTCTCTCTATCTCTCCCTCTCTTCAAATATTATATATATATATATATATATATATATATATATATATATGTGTGGTGTGTGTGTGTGTGTGTGTGTGTGTGTGTGTGTGTGTGTGTGTGTGTGTGTGTGTGTGTGTGTGTGTGTTTGTTTGTGACCTATAGACTCTGATTACTAAACCAATTTGGCTGAAATTTTCAGGTTATGTTTGTTTTGATACTAGGATCCTACCTGTCACGGTTTAAAAAAGGTGGCGACATTTGTTGGCAACATTTTCACAACTAATATTTTCATTATAGCGACATTTAATTGAAGTCACGTTCGTAAATGCGCAGTAGTCAGGACATAATAGTCAGGACACACATCTCAGATAGTTTTGTTCTC